CTACTCCAGGAGTAATAACTGAGGGACCAGCTGCYTTCTGTGACGACATTTTTCTTCTTGACAGACAAGCAGATGAGATTTCGTTTTGTTGGGGAGTTAGGTTTTCATCACTAAGCTCTGCTGGGATTTAGCTGTTGCCTGTGTTTGCCTTTTTGATGACTCTGAAGCTCAGCAACAATTAACACTGGCCTAGGATTGAAAAGACCATTCCTTATGTATGTTAAAATGTCTGTACCCTTGCTTCCACTCATTTTGCATATGCCACACAAGTTATTGAAAACACATTCTTTTTCTAAGAATGATAAAATGTAGGGAAAATAGTGAGGCCATTTCTTGTTATCTTTCCTAGTGTAAAGTCAGGTGTAAGCCCAGCTGTGCAGGCATGAGAAGAAAAGAGGAATTCATGGGGAATAAATGGAAAGCACCTGTGAAAGTCTCTGACTAGGAGGATGGCAACAGGTGCTAAAGCCATGTGTGTTCAGCAGTCATTAAAGACAGTGAATGAATTAAGATGTTCTTGGAGTGGCATTGTAATTTTTGAAAAATGTGGGTTTTTTCAAGGCACTTATTTTAACCTGTTGTGTATTTCAAAATAATGTATGCTGTTATTCTTTTTCTTTCTTTCATTCTTTCAAATAATTTGGGCTTATCTTGAATCCAAGGTAAACTGAAATAAGTCATCCTCATACTGAAATTTGGGCCCTCCTCTAGGGAGGCTCATGAATATATCTAACTCAGATTAAATGTGTCAGTTTGGTCACATTATAGTGTTGCACTATTTTGTGTCAATAAGGCATAGATGAATGAAAGTGAGGCCACATGTGACCATATTTGCAAAGCTATTTAGATGCCTAAATGGCAAATGAGCSCACAGTGAGACTTTGAGGAATACCTCTTCAAATGAGGATCCTGCAAAATCTTTTAAAAAATTGGCTTTTTTTTTTGACTTCAGCATGCAAATTGACTAACAAAAAGCAAAGCTACCACTATATGTGGAATATATGAAAAAGGAGAAAACCCAGACTGTCTCCCAATGAAAGCAAGTCACTCAGCTCAGTATTTTGTTACAGAGGCTTTAAATATCTGTAGTAAAGGGATTTACACAGTGCTTCTTTCAGCTTAGTATTCTTACTACTGGGATGACTCTTCCAGGCAAACTAACTTTGTCTTTCTTGGTTTCATGCATCTTGGATTCATTCTTTAATCGTAGAAGCTGATTCAGACTTTTTGGTTCTCCAGACCAGTACCGAATCATAGCTTTTGCTATTGAACTTGAAACAGCATTTGAACTGAAAACACCTTTTCCTTGAACTAGCAYGAACCTAAACTACTAGGGTAACTGCAGCAGAACCAAACAGGGACAACGTCCTTCAGTCCACACAGTGTACTTTGTAGCAATATGTATCACTACTTTATTATGATTTKGGACTCTTTGAAAATGAAAATGTATCTTTGAATTAAAGGAGTAATCTTAATTATATGAGACATTCCCTTCTTCACAGAGAAGGAACATGTGGTATATAGCGAACAGTGGGTTTTATAGGACTTCAAATAATTCTTCTCCCTTCTTGAGGCTTACAGCTTTTGAAAATACCACACTTCTCCACCTCCTTAGCTSTCATTTAGTCTAGTCTTACATAGGAAGCTTTTAAAAATCTATGTTTGTTCTTCCTTCCATCCTGCCAGCCCCTTCCCCAGCTCCCCTATTCACATTGTTCTTCAGAGCTGTTCTTCCTTTTATTTGTATAGACTCAAAAGCCAAGGTCAAAAGGGCTTTTAGGGCATGTCTCCCTGTGTGATGTAGCATCCTCCAGAAACTGAAGGAGAGATGAATGAGCCAGCATAGGCAGTGCAGTGGAGGGACAAAAGTATAAATTGGATAAAAGCATCCCATCTTGACTTGGTGACATCAAGAAATGCGAATTCACCACTTCTCATTCCCTTGTGTTTTGCCTCTAAAGTTCATTAATATCTTTGCAGAAGATTGTGCCTCTTAAGTTTTCACTCAGATTTTTAATYCCCTTTGGCCCTTTCACTGCAGGACTTTTTCTTCTTTCCTTTTACATAGTTACCAAGCAATTTCCCTACAAGTTGAAGTGATGACATAASCAAAACGGCGGCTCAAGGGACTCTGGTGTACCATTTCCAGAAGTATGGAGCTGGTTTAGGAGTTTTACATCCATCCTTTAAAACTACTTAAGAGGTCTTGATGTGAAGGGGGGAAAAAAAAAAAGGCATTAGGACTTGAAGTATACTTAAAATTTGGGTCTTGGCGTCTGAGTGTCTTACATGAGAAGTAATGACTTTGTGGTGGACTGACCACTAATGCCACATGCCTTGAAAACCTGCCAAGGGCTTGTCTGTGCCACAAAAGTGACTTGCGCTGTGCCAGAACAGGGTGCCCGTGGCACCAGGCTTCAAGAGAGGTAATAGTTTGGATCTGACCTAAAGTGGTGAGCATCTGCTCTAGGTATGCACAGGAAGGTGGCTTGGCCATGGCTGGCTGCACTATGCAGTTGTTTTGCTGCCAACTTCCTCCCTCTCCAGGTGAACATCTGGGAAAGATGGGGGCCAGGCAGGCTTTCCTTGCCAGGGCTCCCTTACAACACAGAGGATTCCTAAAAAGGCCTTGTCAGGGGGAAGAAAACAAGCATCTAAACCACTTCTGAAGCATGATTTGTCTGACCTAGTCTGGGCTCCCGCTTTAGGATCATCTGAATCAAACCCTAGAAGTTCCTGTTTCTCTTCATTGACATCAAAGGAAATCCATAGTGATGTTCTCAAAAAGAGACAAGCACATTTGGCCAGATGAGTCCCATCTCCCAAGGCCATGCAGAGCGGTCGTGTAGGTTGGCAAGTGCATACAAGGTCATGACACAGTGACTTTCTCATAGTGATGCATTCCCAGCCACTTTTGAAGCTGKGGAAGAGGCTCTTCACTCCCAAAATACCAGTGCACTGGTGCTCCGCTCCTCAGCTCCTTGGCAGGATCTCCCTACTAGCAGTATAGGCCACACAAACACCTATCTCTAACTTGACATCCCTTGTTTTCTCCATTTTTTTTAGCTATCTTCTTTTATGATTGTATAGTTTACCACCTTCTTCTCCGTGTGCGTTTTCAAAATCTAATTTTGTTATTTAATCTTTTGGTCTCTGTGTATTACTTCTGTGTCAGCTGATGTTTGCAAGTCTCCCCACTTTACTATCTTCTCTAAATCTCATTATCACACTGTTATTTCTCTTTGCTAGACCGTATAGCCAGAGCTAACACAGATACCTGTTCCATTCTGTTCTACAAGGCACTTCCTTTAAACCACACACATATGTGGATAGCTAGCTAGCTAGATTTTGTTTTAAATGCTCTTTGCTTTCTGTTTATTTATTTATTTTTTAACCCAAGGAGTACTGGGAACTGCAATGATGTCATAGCAACTGTATATGATTAGGTAGCGTCTATGCTGAAGGATATGCCAGGAACTGTATCTATATGTGCATGTGTTTATTTGCATAAATGTGTGTGAATATTTGTCTTTAATAATGCATTTATATGTATTTAAAGAGCAAAGGACTTAGAAAAAATTTAAGACTTTTTTTTTTTTCTTTTTGATGGGAGGGGCTGTTTTACATTGAAAATAAATTGGAGGAAACTCCATGGTGTAGCAGAGAGGATGATGTCATGATATTAGTGCTACAGCAGAGAACAGAATCTGATTCTTTCAAAATAAGATAATCTAAATTTGAATTTGGGTAGAGCAAATCGTGAGAATCCAAGAATCCTTTTTYATTTTTGACATGCTCAGCATTATCATACTGTGGTTTAAATGTCTGGAATATTTTTTTCACAGTGACAGATACAGCTATTCTGCTCATATGCATTCTGAGAAAATATTGTGTTATAACTTTCTAGATATGTGTACTTGGAGGTGTATGTGTGCGCGTTAATTTTCACTCAAATTCAGGCATTGCCATGATCTTCCATGCATGCAAACCCATGTTTTTTTTCCCCACATGTGTATGGGGAGTGTGTATGAACATGCTCATCTTTCTTATAATAGCTTCCAGAAATTTGAAGGCACAAGATCAATAGACCTAGAAATTACGTAGGCATGGAAATGACTTCAGGGATATGCAGAAGGGGATTAGAAAATATGGGAAGAATCTATAGATTGTTTTTAAGCAGAATATTTTAAAAGCCTCTTGTTACAGAAGCCTCATTTTCTGTGTCTCCAGGAAGGCTACTGAGCGGCTTTGGGGACAGCAGGGCAAGTTGCCTGCTCTGCTCCGGGGGACCTTGCGGCACGGGGATGTGTGCGCACACGTGAAGGAGGCAGCATGTGCATATATGTTTGCTGGCGAGGGGGAGGGGGGCTTTAACAGCCATTTTAACAAATTTTCCCATTTCCCTTCAGCTCGCAGCTCCCACCTACGGCATGTCACCTGTGCATGAAACATCCCGCGTGCCATGGCAGTCACCCCGCGCCGTCTTCTCCCCTCCGTGCCCACCCCGCCCCGCGCTTCCTTAACGTATAAATCCCACTTCTGGAGGCGGCTGGGTGGGTGCTCAYGGCTTCCGCTGCTCCATGGGGCTCGGGGCCCCCTCACAAGGGCTCGGGCCCCATCTYGTCCCCACACACCTCCACCCATGTCCCCCTTCCACCGCAGTCCGCAGCATCCCCTTCCCCGCGTAGTCTCTGTGCAGTGGGGAAGTCATTGGGTAATTGGGTCCAGATTGGAGATTTTAATTATTCATGAGGCTGGCAAGGGGACTAGTGAGGGAGAAGCTGGGAACAATTCGGGAAGAGAGGGAGGGAGAGGAGGCAGCGTGTGTGTGTGTGTGTGTGTGTGTGTGCGTGTGCGGTGAGCAATAGCTGCGGACCGGAGAGTCACTGCTAACTGCCCTGGTGTCTGTGTGTGTGAGAGAGAGAGCGAGAGAGAGAGAGAGAGAGAGAGGGAGAGAGAGAGAGGGAGGGAGGGAGGGAGTGGAGAGGGTGGGGGGAGAGATAAGAGAGAGAAGAGGAAAAGGAGAGAGGAGAAGGAAGGAAGAAGAAGGAAGGAAGGGGACAATACGATCATGCTGTGCTGTATGAGAAGAACAAAACAGGTAGAGCTGGAGATTTTCTCTTTCTTTCGGTGGAAAAGGCACCCAGGCTGTGGGGTGTCTGTGGGGTGTCTGTGTCTGCCTCTGAGAGCRTGAGGGGCAGGGGAAGGGGCAGGGGTAGGGGGAGGAAATTTCGGCTGCTTTCAGCAGATGCCTCTTTCACGATTCTTCAGCATCTCGCAGCTGAAGGCTCCCTCCACACCCTTCAACATGACTGTTTTGCCTTTCCAGGGTGGATGCTGTGGGGAAGGGGGGTGGCCTATGGCTGCATTTGGGGAGCTACCAGGATCTCCCCTCTATATCGTATTTTTTTAATTGTGGGCAAATTGCCTGGGATTTTCTGTCTTGTGTTTCGGAGGGTGTGGATGTAGCRGTGGGGGGAGGGTTGGGAGGAAACGTGATGAGAAGTGGCTTTGCCTTGAATATAAAGGAAACAATTCTTCATCCTTTGCCAAAAAAAGAGCGGATACCCAGTGAGCCTTGATCCTTGGTTGGAAAGCTCTCTAATGCTCCGATGAATGAGAGATGCTTTATGTGCATGTGCTATGAGGCAGCTCAGAGGACAGGTGCATTCATTTTCTTTTTTTGTATTGTAACAATCTGAGTAGGAATTAATCTGAAGCTATTTTTTTTTCTTTCAATTTATGCATAATGAAAGGTGCAATCAGTTAATAACAAAATCATTAGCCAGAGGAAGGGGCTAATAGCCYTCTTTGCAATACCCTTCATATTGCAACGAGTTAGACAACTGGGCACCGGCTGGAGAAGAGACAGAGGACCACGCCTCTGCTAGCGCCAACTCGGGTGGGATAAGAGAAGCTTGCAGCGTGAACCTGTTGGAAACCAATCTCTGTGCTAGCATTGCATGGCTTTCCTTCATGGGGAATTGGGATGCTGAGAAGATTGGAGCAGTGGCTGGTTTCTAGTGGAAAAATATACATATATATATATTTGTGTCTAAATCATATGGGTAAAAAAGCTGCTCATATCATACTCCYGTCACCCTTCCTCTTTCTATTTTATGTGAAAGCCCACACGTGCTCTTTTTTAAGAGAACCTAATTTGGCTGAACTCCTTGGACTTCTTTAGGAGGATCTTGGATTTATGCAGTTGGAACTTTGGGGTAGGAGCTCATCCTGAATATCTTTATAAGAAATTTTGAATACTCCTCCTAAATAAGGATCTCCCCCTAAATAAGGTGATGACAAAGAGCTTTGGTCCTTGCGCTGAGTGCAGGACTCAGCTCAGTYTTAAGTATAGAGCCATAATGGTTACTTTCTTTATACGTTTGCATACGTACATTTGTATATTGCTTGCAATATAGTACTGCAGTACTCTGGAGCAATATCCTAACACAGAGATGCAAACAAGACATGTCACTGTGGAACAGTGCAGTGTTTAAAGAAAATCCAGGTTAAGGTGTGTTTCTGAATGGAGGTATGTGTGTTATCAAATGAAGGAGCAGTTTTGTAGAATAATGGGGAGGGGCAGGCAAATGAGATAGAAAAGGACCCTGCGTCATGTGGCTTTTTTTTCTTTTCTTTTTCCTATGCAGGTTTCAAATGTTCTGCAATTAATGATACATTCACTTAAATCTGGAGGGAGGTGGTGATGGGGGGTGGGGGGCACATTGCAGCCCGCCAGCAGAGCACATTCAGCTGGCAAATATGGGATGAAAAGAGGAGGAGAAGGAAGGCAGACAGAGAAGCAGAATGACAGAGTAGTGGGTGGAGGTGCACAGCAAATTTTAAAATAAAGTAGGTAGCTTTGGCTTCTCTTGAGCCGGGAGAAAGCTCTTGGGGAAGGGGGATAATTTTGCCCGTGCTATCACAGGTTGGTCATTAAAGCTTCTGATTAGTATTCTGATATATCATTTTTTATATCTGCCTAGACCCATACCTGTCACTTTTTACTCTAGCATATTTAGAAATGCCTGGTATGCAGGTATTTTGATCTCGTGTAGTCTTCTCTGCCCAGCCCGTGTATTAATCCACTGCATGGTACACACCCCTCTGCGCGTGCATGTGCTGCTCGCATCCCAGCTCTCCAGTCCCCTGCATCTGTACTGTACATATATGCACATACATGCGCTCATCCACATACACTTTCTGGTCCTTATGCAGCCATACATCCTGAAGGCAACTGCCTGTGTGTATTCCATGGCTTTTCCTGTGCTCAAAGCCCAACTCCTACTCATGTATCTGAATGCACATGCTTCCACACACCAAAATTGCCAGACTGCTTGTACGGATGTTGGAAATTTAATTTGGAACAGAAGAAAGACCTTGGTTTTGAGTTTGTGCTCTTCCTCTGTCCCCACCCAGATCATTCATAGAGAGAAAAAGATGGATGGGAATCACAGGCAGGAGTTCCCTTCCCAAAATAAAGACAACTCTCCTCAAATTATTTTCCCGAGGAAGCTCCTGCTGCCCTGCCTTTCTGGCAGCAAAGGAGCAAAATGTTGAAATCACAGGCTTGGGCGTGGAAGAAATCTCTTCACATTCATGTCTAGGTGTGCTCGTATGTGTCTACCCTCCCACCCCTCAAAGACAAGTATATTCACACGCTGGTACCTCGCAGGTTATTCTTTCTCGTGGGTGCAATGCCAGTGTGAAGAGTGAAGTGTCTGACTGAGTGTGCCCGCCCATGAGAGATGCAGCTAGCTTAGTGGTGTCATTTATGCCCACACGGCATCTTTTCCCACAAAATATTGAGCTAAAAGGAGGCATAGCTGAAAGGCTGGGGCAAGGAATTCCTCAGCCCTTGTTACTAGCGAGAGATGCGGTTGGTAATGCAAGGAGAGGGGTGGTTAGCTAGGTGGCTAGAAATGCAAGCGTTGCATGTGCCGCATACTGGAACAGATGGACATCAGGGGGGTATGTGCTCAGTATTGGATCGCATGAGTGATTAAACAATAACCCGCAAGCAGGTTTCCCACTTGTGGGCKAGATGATTCCCATTCATCAGCAGCCGGCTCCGACGGCTTCCTTCCCCTGGCGTCCCCYGCTCCACAGCCCAGCGCCGAGAGCCGGCGGCTGCGAAGGTTTAAACCTGCCACACCCTTCGGATGGAAGCAGGGAGCCGGGAGAGGCAGTCTGCCTTTCTTTCCCCTTCCACGCGAGCAGCATGAATAAACAGGGATCTATCTCTGAAGATGCAGTTTAATGCAATTAAAGACGAAGAAAGCATTAGGGAACTCTTTTAGCAATTACAGGCAGCCGGCGAGGTATCTTGTCATTCCCGGAACTGCGGAGATGTACAGGATGGAGGAAAAGAGAGAGAGAGAGGGAGGAAGATGCACGCAGAGTTAAGATTTTGTTGCCTCAGGATATTAAAATGTCTTGGATGTTATTTAGAGAAATTTAATTATACCACACAATGCAGATGCTTCAAGGCTTGCAAGGCATGGTCTTACCTTTAAACGCCATCATAGATGGAGAAAAAAGTAGTATTTTAAAGGGTAGGTGACCATCCACGCCCCTCCTCCCTCTACTTGCCAGCATGGTGTAAATCACCACAGCCCATTGACTTTAAGGCAGAGGCACTACATCTGCACCCGAGGAAAGTCCAGCCTCTGCCTTTCTGAGAGACACTCCATGGTTTCTGTGCTCCTCTTAGTAAACAATTGCTGCATTGAAGTTTAATTACTTCAGGTCCTTACTATTTCTCTTCCTGGAGCAATACCTGTGGGATTTCTCCTGGAAAGCAAGTCTCAGGAGAAGCACCCCTCCCACCACCCTGTCTTCCTCTGCTGCCTTTGCTGACTATTAGAGACATTGATTTCTCCTCGATCGCATAATGTAACTCTTCTTAATGGCACAGACCAGCCCCCTCCTAGGGAACTAATTGCAGGCAGACTTTCCAGGGGGAGAAAGACAGCCGTAATGCTTAGTAGGAGAGAGTAGAGAGTTTCCTACTGTAATGTGCTCCTGAATCAGAGTCTCAATACAGAGCAGGCAGGCAGCACCCACCGTAGAGGTGTCCCTGCTGAGAAGGTTGTATTGAAACTTGCATCTGCCAGGCTGGGGACGTGTGTGCACCCCAAGGGACCAACATGGATTGCCTGTGGGCTTGTCCTGCCCAATGCTGCATGTGCCTCACAATATGAAGGTGTGCAGTAACTGCTGACCATGGCCATGCCATGCTGAGAGGCTGGACATCACTTGAGGCCTTCTGTGTATTATGATGAGAAGATTGATACCTGCTGTGTATCAACAAGTTACATGAAGCCTGGGCACAGYCCCAAACTCAGACTGAGACTGAGTAGCCTGAGGCCTCTGCTTATTYTGTGGCATGTAAAGCACCTTCTCTCAGCAGGCCCCAGCCAGGGAGTCCTCATTCGGTCTTGTGGGTTGAGGTGCAAGAGGGTTGAGCTGCAAGGGTTGAGGTTCTACCTCAGATCTGCTCTCATTTCAGGTCAGCTGTCATGGTCTCTGAGATGCTACCCCAGGATTAGGAGCTAATCTGTACAGATATTACATGTCTCCCTCCCCATCTCCCAAGGAGACTTGTGTGGGGGGAGAATTTCCCACTGGTGACAGCTACTGAGGTTCACGATCTGCTTGTGCTAATGGAAGGTGACCCGGGACATGTGTGTGTTGCAAACGTTATTTGCCCCCTGCAAGATAAGAGTGGGTGGTTAGTCTCGTATCATGTTAATTAAGGACACCTGTAAGTGATGGAGTTCCCTGGCCCTATGCTGAGAGGATGTGCTCAGCGCAGTAACTCCCATGTGCTCCGCGTGCAGAGGATGTGGGACATTCATGGACTCTGCTTGGTCTATACTGTGCAGGCACATCTGTGCTGAGAGACTGGCGTATAACCAGGAAAAGCAGGACTAGCCTAAGGATTGCCTCTTGCTTTGGCTGAAATAGTATGAAGCAGAACAGCATGCTTGCTTTTACATCAAGTAGATATAAACCTGATGTCTCTGCATTCTCCAAGGCTGGAGGTGCATTGCTCTCTACCATTTGCTCAGTCCATGCTCTGCTGGCACTTGTATC